CGAGGATATGGCTTTCTCAGGCCTCATGCGTGTTAAGATCAAGCTTCAGATTCCATTTCCTCATGTGGAAAAGATCGAAATCTCATTCCTTGAGAAGCCTAGTAAGTTTTTTTATCTTTTTGTTCTGTCCTATGAATGCTCGCGTTTCAATACATTATTATCCGCAAGTTGGAACGTCCTCGAGATTTTCATGTTTCGCCTGGACACAAAGCTGTCCCAGTCTTTGGGGGCAGCTTCAGACTTGAACTGTCTATATCTCGCGTACTCTTAGTAGAAAATTTAGGCTGACTTTTCAAAAGCAATCGATTATGTGTGTAAACCTCTTGGAGGTGAAACTCTTGGATTTGACATCAACTTCATTCCTGGACTTGAAAGTTTTATTCTCGAACAGATCCATGCGAATATCGGACCGATCATGTATGCACCTAACGTGTTTCCAATTGAAGTCGCGAAAATGCTGTCTGGGTCAGCTGTTGATCAGGCTATCGGTGTATTGGCCGTCACTCTCCACGGGGCTCAAGGGCTTAAGAATCCCGACAAATTTGCTGGAACCCCCGATCCATATACTGTCCTGTCAATCAACAATGGTCCTGCTCTAGCACAAACCAAGATCATCAAGGAAAACGCTAATCCTAAATGGAATGAGACGAAATATGTTATTCTTACTTCTTTCACCGAGAGTCTCACAATGGCTATTTTCGATTATAACGAATACCGAAAAGACAAAGAACTTGGTACTGCCACTTTCCCATTGGAAAGGGTGCAAGAGGTTACGGAATATGAGAACGAACAGCTTGAGGTTATGGCAAATGGCAAGGCACGTGGCCTACTATCTGCAGATCTACGCTTCTTCCCCGTCCTCGAAGGACGTACTCTCGCAGATGGCACGACTGAACCTCCTCCTGAGTCTAACACCGGTATTGCTCGTTTCTGTGTCGAGCAAGCTAAAGACCTCGATGGTACCAAGAGTCTCATTGGTCAGCTCAGCCCCTACGCTGTACTTTTACTAAACAACAAGGAAATTCATGTCACAAGGAAATTAAAGAGAACGAACAATCCTATTTGGGACAACGGATTTAAGGAAATTCTCATCACTGATAGAAAGAGTGCAACTTTTGGTCTTGTCATTAAGGATGATCGAGAACTCGGCACCGATCCCATCCTTGGTACATATCAGATCAAACTCAATGACATGCTGAACTTGATGGAAAAGGGTCAAGAGTGGTACACGCTCGCTGGAGCCAATTCTGGCAGAGCGAAGTTGACGCTTCAGTGGAAACCAATCGCGTTGCAAGGCGTGGGCGGAGGCACTGGCGGTTATGTTACTCCTATCGGTGTCATGAGATTTCATTTTAAGAATGCGCGAGATCTTCGAAACCTTGAAACTCTGGGTAAATCTGATCCTTATGTCAGGGTCCTCTTGTCTGGCATAGAAAAGGCCCGAACAGTTACATTCCAAAACAACCTTAACCCAGATTTTGACGAAGTTGTATACGTCCCCGTCCACAGTGTCCGGGAGAAGTTAACTTTGGAAGTTATGGATCAAGAGACTATCAACAGTGATCGTACTTTGGGATCGATCGAAATTTTGGCTGCCGACTACATTCAACAACTTGAGAATGGGGAATTCATTGTACATGATGACAAAGTACCACAAGCCGGTGGATTGCGCATGCATGGAAAGGGCTCCCCCAGAGGAACACTCAATTATACTGTAGCATTCTATCCATGTTTGAACGTCGCAGATCCCGAAGATGAGGAAGAAGCTAAAGAAGAGGCCGCCCGCAAAAAGTCTTCAGAGAGAGGTCGCATAACTGGTATGGAAAATGGCGTCAAGGATGTTGTGGAAAATGGGGACGAATCAGAAAAGCCTACACGATCTTCGAGCGAATCCGCGATGGCTGCAAAGCTTGCGGAAGGTGAACAGGAGCAAGAAGAGACCACGAAAGAAAAGCAACTTCCTAAGATTCATCTCACACCCGAGGAATTACTCAAGTATGAATCTGGTCTTATCATTTTTAAGATAATTGACTGCGACTTGACCCGAAGCAATGTTCACGTCGAAGTTGTCGTTGATGATATGGCATTCCCGTCATACTCGTCCTCCACAATCAAATCGAAGAGAATGACTTTGGATGAGATAGGTGATTGTTTTGTTCGTGAACTAGATTTCTCCAAGATCACCATACGTATTCGAGAAAAGCATAGTAAGGGGGATGACAAGAAAGACTCCACTATTGCCCGCCTAAGTGGGGAGACACTAGCTACCCTAAAACAATGCCTCAACAATCCTACCATGTAAGTGCAAAATAACATCGATTTCTGAGGGTTATCTTTCTCTCACGATCCCTACTTTATACAAGTACTAACATATTCCATAGACTCAAGCTTCGAGATGATGACGGACATACTAGTAATATCAAGGTCTCACTTAAGTACATCCCAGTTAAGATGGATCTGGATCCAAGCGAGAGTATCAACAACATGGGAAAACTACGAGTAGATGTTTTGGATGCTACTGATCTTCCATCGGCAGACCGCAACGGGTACTCAGATCCATACTGCAAGTTTGAATTCAATGGCAACTCGGTGTTCAAGACTAAAGTCCAGAAGAAGACTTTACACCCAGCTTGGAATGAGTTCTTCGAGCTCGATGTACCTTCAAGAACAGCAGCGAATTTCATTTGTAACGTCATGGATTGGGACTTCGGTGATAAGGCCGACTTCCTTGGCAAGGCCGAGATCAACCTAAATCTCTTGGAACCATTCAAGCCAAAGGAAATGAGCTTAGCTTTGGAAGGTAAATCGGGGTCTATTCGTCTGCGCTTGCTATTCCGCCCAGACTACGTGACTAGGTCGAGACAAGGAAGTTCGACATTCTCTGGTACATTTGCTACGCCAGGAAAGATTGTCACTGGAGTCGCAGGAGCTCCAATCAAGGGTGTTGGCTTTGCGGCACAAGGTGTTGGCAAAGGAGCTTCCTTTATTCGACACGGCTTCAAAAGTAAGAAGAAGGATGAAGACGACCTTAATGGCAGCATTAGTTCCGAGTTAGATAACGACGCTCCTATTACTAATGGAAGTGGCGGATTAAAGCGTGGAAGTGTCCTCCCCGGCTCAGGAGCACCAATTCCGGAAATCATGCCTCCAAAGACACCGCCATCAGAACCGAATCATGCACGAACCAAGTCTTTCGGAGCATCTTCGGGGCACTCTGGCATGTTCGGTTCTCCTGGTACTTCAGGCGGACCTGTGGGTATTGCAAACTTCACGATTGTGTCTGCATCTGGGTTTCCACCTTCTTCAAGCGTTATGGTCTATGTTAAATCACTGGGTGCCAAGCCTAAAGTCATTCACAAGACTGATCATATCAAATCGCCCAACGGCACCGTACTTTTCAACGAGAAGAAAGAAAGCTTCAAATGCACCACTTCTGCAGACGCAACATTCCAAGTGTCTGTCAAGGCACACAATACCTTTGGCTCAGACGATGATCTTGGCGAGGGAGCTCTCGTCGTAGATGAAACTGGCACAATGCAAGAAAAGCAAATCCGTTGTGGTGCGGGCTACATTACGGTAAAATCTAATTTTATTATGAGCTCTACTGAGAATGGATCGGAGAGTCCGAAGACCCGTTCAGGTTTTGGAAGAAGTTTGCTTAGCAAGAAAGAGACTGGCCGAACTAGCAGAGACATCACACCCGTCGGTACACATGGCTCTTAGTAGGATGCAATACTAGAGTCGGTATTCAGGGGCAAATGAGGGATAGATGATAGATTTTCTGGCATGGGGGTGGCCTATCTCTTCCGCGTGTTTTAGGGGGAGGGATGGGTGGTCGAAAGCTTACGATGGATTTTGCTTTCCTGTTCTTGTTTCTATGGGAAGGAGATACCATGGCGAGTTTGGTTGTTCATTTATTGCGCGTTGTTCCTTGCCTTATTTGACGAATTTCCTTGATTGAAGCTGGCGCAGTTAATATTGGTACAATAATCATCTGGAGAGAGCATGAGAGTTTTGAAAGCACTGGGGGTAAAGGGGTCGATGGGCGATGTAGGCCTGGATGATGTGGAATGGATATTTGGATTGTAAAAGGGGCGGGAACGAGGAAGCAATCCCTTGAGAGGCAGACAAATTCATATTTTCAATGTTGTACTGTGTTATGTCGTAAGAAGCTATGCTGAGTACATTGTGTCAAATGAAAATAAAAAGATCCTAATACAACACTTTATCCATTTACTTTGCAAATTGATTTGCAAATTGATTGCCTTCTTCTTCCACTACTCCTGTTGTCTTTCCCACTTTTGATATTTGATACAATCGATATATTATCTCTGTAACCCTCGGAGGGATCCGATGGAGTTTCCTCTGTGATTTTCTCAATAACTTCGAATTCTCGCCGAGAATATTTAAATATCACGAGCTAATCTGCTAATGCAGTAGAACGACCCTCAGCGCATGCAAGTACAGGGTTAAAAAGGCCTAGTCGACAAAATATTGGACCCAAGCTGATAGAAAAGTGCCAGGTTATTTGCAAGTTGCAAGCAAAGATTTTGTTGGACCTTGTTCTTGGATGGAAAAAAAAATCATGTCTTTACTATAAATGTACGTGTAACTCATTGTATGCTTTTTGTTCGTGACAATAAGAAAAAGTGTTGGAAAGATTGAATTGAATCATCATTCTGATTTTCCAGAGTTGCATAAACTAACTTTTCTGACGCAATTGGTTTTAATAAGAGCAACTTGTGAATCACACGCCCTTTCTACCCGCTAACTCGAAGGTCTGCAGAGCTGCGTTTCCCCCGCCACAATTTTGAGTTTCCATTATATAAAACATTCCTACCCCGCAAAACAGCTCGAGTTACGATTCAGACCCATTGGACCACGAGGTATTCATAGCGTCACCGCTGCCTGTTTCTCTTTCCTTAGGGTGCGATTTTCGCGGAACATAAAAGTCGGCGTGTTGTCGCAGAGACGGGGAACGAGGTAGACATTCCACCATCATGTCGCTGTCGCAGAGAGTAACGTCGTTTGAATCGCTGTCGCCGGAACGAGGCAGGTCCCCGGCGGGTTCGCAGAGGAGGAAACTGAGCTTTAGTCCGTTGCCGGGGAATTGGGGGGATGATTTGGAACCGCAGGAGCAGGTGGTCGAGGAGATTGAAACGGTGGCTGCGTTTGAGGTTTCGAAGGGGAAGCGAATTTGTAAGTGTTTTTCTTGGTGATGTTGGTTTGTCGTGATGCGCATGCGACATTGGAATGTTGGGCTGCGAATCTTCATCTCTACATCGTCTCGTCTGATGGTCTAAAATCGTGATGCGGAAATGTACTAATTGAACGCTCAATTGTAGTACAAGTCGCAATTGCAGTGGTGTACTGTCTCCTCGCTGCCGGTATCGTCTTTGGATATGCAGCGCTCAAGCCAGTTCTTATCCGCGAAGGTGTTTATCGAGAATATTGTACAGAAGATGAATTGAAAGAGGGAGTACGAACTTGCTTTGAGCAGGAGATACATTTGAACTTGATGTTCACCATTGCTGCGGTCGGTACGAATGTTGCAGCTTTACCAATTGGCTCTATCTTGGATAACTTTGGTCCAAGGGTAGCTGGTATCATAGGAAGCATTTTCTTGGCGGTTGGAGCTACTCTATTTGCTTTTGCTGATGAGTTACCCTTTGATGGATTTATTCCAGGATATTTGTTGTTGGCACTCGGAGGAGCTTTCTTCTTGATCACCTCTTATCAGCTTTCGAATACCTTTCCCAAACATTCTGGTTTGATCTTGGCTCTTTTGACTGGTAAGTAATTGTTATTTTGCCTCTTCTTTCGCACTTGACCTAATGATTTTCAAGGTGCCTTTGACACCTCCAGTGCGCTCTTCCTCGTATATCGAATCATATATCAATGGAGTGATGGAACTTTCCACATCAAACAGTTCTTCCTCATCTATCTGATCGTTCCGGCTTTTATCCTCATCGCACAAATTTTCGTCATGCCTTCCCAATCGTACAAGACAGTGGGAGAAATGGTTAAACAGGTCGAAGATGACGATTTGTTCGACGATCAAATGGACGAAACTACAGCTCTCCTTCGCGAAGAGCGTCGTCAACGTCGTGATTCCATTGTCTCGGAAATAACCGAACTTTTGGGCACCAAGCCGGGCAGTAAACAAGTCAAACAAGAAGAGCGCAAGAATAAAATCTCCGGCGTATGGGGAGTGTTACACGGAAAAACCGTAGTACAACAAATCCTGTCTCCGTGGTTCGTTCTTATTACCCTATTTACCGTTATCCAAATGACACGGATCAATTTCTTCGTCGCCACCATTCGTCCACAGTACGAGTACCTCCTTGGTTCTTACAACAAAGCCGTCGATGTTAACACTTTCTTCGATCTGGCTCTTCCACTAGGAGGCGTCCTCTCAATCCCTTTCATTGGCATCATTCTCGACAATACCAGTACCACATTTGTGCTCTCCCTCCTCGTGACCATCGCGACCACTATTGGCGTTCTCGGCATGCTCCCCTTTTCCTGGGCCGCCTATGCAAACATCTCTCTCTTCGTCCTCTACCGTCCCTTCTACTACACCGCCGTATCCGATTACTCAGCCAAGGTCTTTGGATTCCGTACGTTTGGAACGGTATACGGATTGATTATCTGTTTGGCAGGTCTTCTCAATTTCAGTCAAAGTGGATTAGATGCCCTCCTCCACAAAGTCTTCAACGGAAACCCAGTACCGATTAACGGTATATTGATGGGCTCAGCATTGGTGGTAGGAATCATCCTCTGTGCATTTGTGGGTTGGAAAGCATACACCTTGAAGCGAGATGGCTTAGAAATGGAGGCAGAAGCTGCGAGAGAAACAGTAATGCCTGGTGCGGAGAGTCCGGAACGATTATAAGTTCTGGATTATTTTATCAAAGTAATATTATTTGGAAAATTGGTTCTGGCGGTTGGAAATATATATTGATGGATGGATGGATGGATGCTTTGAAGCATGGACCGGCGTTGTTTGGAATATCCTCTCTGTCTAGGCAATGTATAGCGAGCGAGCGTGCGTGCTTGGTCTGCATCTGTATTTGAGTTCGGATTTAGGGAGTCGTCTCATACATGCATGTCTTATCATATCTTACCATACCATACGTATACGCACGCATATATTATTTTCTGGGAGATTCGTCGATGAGATGGATATCCTGTATTGTTTGCTATCATTTGGGTATATTTTAGTAGAAGTAATTATCCATATACACACAGGAGAATGTATAATTTGTATTCAATCACTTTGGAGTTTTTGTTTCCTTTGACTATTATTCTTGAGTTATCAATATAAACGCAAGATTGAGTCATGAATATATGTCCAAAGCTAGATATCAACCCAGATCAACCAATGGCCGCCAGAAAACTATTTGAAGCAATCCGTTTCAAAGCCAGATGGTTAGTTTATGAACTCATAGTCGCAATCACAATGGCAATTGAGGGGTACAAGAAATTATAGAGGAAATGCAAGTCAAATTTGAATATCCCATTACAAGATGTTAACACATACAATAATGTATACAATGCTAGTCCTCAGCATGATGCAAAGGAACCTATGCAACCCAAAATACCTCGTGAATGCTGATTGTCTAAGAAAAGAAAGTACCGCCCTTAAATCCATACATTTTCCATCTAACCCGTTTTCATCATCCTCTGGTCTAAAATATGAAGGTTGACTCCTTGAAACAGCATGTTGATAAAACATCATTAACCTGCACCGTTTTCTTACCCTCTCTCTACAACTTTTTAGACGCAAAAGATAATTAGCGAACAACGAACTACTGCATTACTTTTTGGGCGTCGACGACCCCCTGTTTGAAGGCGTCCAGCTTTTGGCCAATTTCTGCCAACATTTAAGATTCTTTATCGTCCACTGTTTTGGGGGTAGCTATGACATCTTGCGCAGTGTTTCGAAGTTGAGCAATGTTCCTCTGCAAAGTCTGGAGCTTTCGATCAAGGTCTCTCAAAATTGACGATTCTCCATCCTTTGGAGTTTCCGGGTCTTCCTTAGGAAGAGCAACGGTCTCTTCCGCAGTGTCATTGTATATGGAGGTGTCAGTTTGTGAGCCATCCAGCTTTTGGTTCAGATCTAACCTTGATTATTCTCCACCCTTTGGATTTGCTGGGCGCTCTCCTGGCTGAGCAGTGATTTCCTCCGCATCTTGGGGCGTCCTGGCGAGATCGGGTTGGAGACCATCCAAATTTCGATTAATGCCTACTACGTTTGACCATGTTCCGTTCTTTGATCCTTCGTGCTCCTGCGCAATCCAGTCCTTGAGCGTACCTATGAGTGGACGTGGACATAAGCGCAACCTCTTGTACCCTTCCCACAAATAAAAGTATGGCGAGTCACATGAAGGTCGAATGTCCATGCTCATTTCAACACCTGGTGTGGTGTCAATGTATATACTTGGTTTTTCCAGCTTGATCTTAACAATTGGACATAATTTGGGTACAAGCGTTTCCTCCCATGGGACGACTTCATAATCATCAGCAAGCTCATCCCAATTATCTCTTGTGGAGGCCTGCTTTATGATGGTAGGAATCAAAGAGTGTCGAATGATGTTTTTGCTTATGCGCTCTGCCAGTGCCTCCAAAGTTTGGAATGATGATTCTTCTATCGTCTAGATATTGTCAAGTGAAATTAGTAAATGGGTTGCGCAAGATGGGGAATATGCTGGCTACCTTCACAACGATCTGTTGTATATCCCAATGAAGATCTCCCTGGCCAACCCATCTATCTATCTCAACATTCGCAACCACATTCTGTTTCATGGTGCGCTCTTTTGGCAACAAGCCTATTATGGTGGGAACTGTAAGGTCATGCAGTCGAAGGGTACTACTTTCTCCGATATGACCAATGCTGCGCAAGACGCCTGCTTCCTGTTCCTCTAACGAAGGTTCTTTGAAAATCGTTTGTGTAGTAAGACTGGCACCAGCTCCTCGTAAAGATGATTTTGGAAGCATGATTCTGATTGAGGACCAATTGACGTTTCTACCTACTGCAATTCTACGCCTAACGAGAACAGAAACGATGAATGAATAGATTGAATTCATGGAAAGTTCGCTTGCAGAGTCAGGTGTTATACCTCTTGCATGATAAGCCCTGAGACCGTCGATAATTGCTGATTTGATGAGGCCATAATGAATAGTGTCCCCTGCGATGTCATCATCTTCAGATGCCTTCTTAAAAGGTCGTCGTAAAGCGAGGGACACCGAGATGAGAGCTGGTTGGTGTGGACAAGTAGTCTCAACCCAATCTCCAGTCCACCCATCGGCTCCGGCCATGACCTGCAATTGCAAGTCTTTGACGCCAATGACAGCAACTGGCTCTTCACGAGCTTTTGAAAGCTCCCAGCTTGACATCCATGCAGAGGGCTTGAGACTGGTTGCCATATTCAAGATAGATGAATGATCCTACTTCTATTAGTCTTTGTCCTTGGCCCGATAGACGAATCCCCAATGCTTACTTCACTAAGAATGGTGGAAGTATTGATAAGATCGGCGCTTGAGATTATGTGTTAGTGAATGTAGCAGCGCAGAGATTCGTTGCCAATTGAAGTGAGAGTGAGAGCAATCATAAGTCCCCGTGAACTAATATGCAAATTGAAAAAAAGCGAGGGGAATGTTGATGTGATGAGGGTTTGTTTGATGTTTGCAATAATGATTGTAGAGATGAACTTACTGAGACTCCATTGTGATTGCCAATCAAGAAATAGAGAGGTTAATGAGGAAAGAGCGGATATGAGGTTGTGACATGGAAGTGATTTTGTAGGATTGGGGAAACAACGGCCATGTTTTGGCGGGGTAAATTGTAGATGGGCAGAATAAGGCGGCGAAAGAAAATTGTATAATGTGAATTTGATGGCGGGGTACATTGTTTCATTGTTACAAAATTTCACTCGAGCAAGCATTGATTCTATGTAAAAATGGAATTTTAGTATTTCATAAAAGTGCCCTACGCAATGCAAGCCAATATATTCAATCCTCTGAAGTGATATATTTTCATCAGTTTACTAGCTGGTTGAAAAGTATCATTAACAAGGTATAAGTCCCAGAGCTAGCCTGCTGCCTCTAGCTATTAACGCCATTTACCCATGGCTTCATCCGTAGATGATTGTATTTGCCAGTGCCCCCTAGATTCCACTTTGATGACCCAAAAACGCCTCCCCCTATCAAACAAATGCTTTCAGGCCTTCTTAGGCATTTTAGGAGTACATACTGGACATATCCAGGTGCCCAAGGGATCACTCTTGACGCCAACACAAGACCAATGAAACCATTCATAAGGACAGTCTTCGTTATCGCATGCCACCATGTCTCCATAACTGATATTGTGACAAATGCAGTATTTCTTATCATCCCCACCCTCTTCGTCATCGACATCAACCATATCGTCGTCTCCATCAGCGTCCTTGCTTTGACGTCCGGTGTTCTCTTCTTCTTCGATGGAGCCGGATTCCGCATCGCTCAGCTCACTGTCGTTTGCAGAGGACGGCGAGTTTTTATGTCCTCGCTTTAATCTACTAAGACCAGATTTTCCAGGTTTACCTTTGCGTGGAGCGCCACTTTGCCTGCTGCCCTGAGGTGCCACTTTCTTTTTCTGCGAATTTCTTGGTCCAGCACTACCGCCGCGTACGGCAGATGGTGTACCTCCACGAGGAGTACCCGGAGTCATTGATGAATGGCGAGCAAGTCCACTAGAGGCGGTTGGTAGGGTACCCAGTCCTCCAGTAAGTCGTGGTCGCTTGTTCATTGCGCCAAGTGATGATTCCCGAGTTTGCCTTTGTAAAAGTAAAGTGGCAGCGGGTGTTGCTGGAGCAGAAGACGCCATCGCGCCATTAAGTTGGTTACTGTTCGCAGATATTCTGGAATTACTTGGATGTCGTGCATGAGGGGAGGAGACTGAGTTTATGATTTCACCAAGTGGTCTCGTGCCGCCGTGGGTATCTAATCGGGAGCGGTCGATTGGTTTTGGGTCTAGTAGCGAAGGCAGATCTGGATCTTTTGGGAATTCTCCTTTATTTTGTAGCGTTTTGATTTGCTGGTCCAGTCGTCGAACGTGTCCCTCAACAAGGCTTTCTAGATCCTGACATAACTTGATTTTCTCATCTTGAAGGCGCTCTGCTTTTTCATAATTCTCGAGTATTATCTTGTTCAAGGTTGGTTCTTTTGGGTTCGGCTGGTTTGCCCCGTTCGCCTTGGTCCATTTTTGAAGAGCAGCATCGTGCTTTGCGATGACAGAGAGGCACTCTTGCATAGCTTTGTCCTTTTCTCCTATCTCATCTTGCTTGAAAGCAATTTCGTGGGGTAAATTTGCGACACGGTTGATCCAGTCATCGAGAACTCCCGCTGTATCTAATTGCTCCATCTGCGGCATATTGATATTATTTTTGTACTTGGGGACAAAATCGATGGAAAGATCGTCTCTGGGCATTGTTATTAACGTTGACGGGAATCCCGCAGCAAACGTATGTTATGAAGGTAAGATGTGATGCCCGAAAAAAGAAAACAAAAACAAAAGACAGATAGGAAGATGTAGGTGTCATGAGAATATGATGCCTTTGACAGGAATGATTGCGCATGCAAAATTGAAGTTGCGACAGCTTACCTTGAATGTTAAAAATATTGATGATAAAAGTTACCAATCATCTGCACAGGCACAGGATAGATTAGTGAAGGGGGTGGCTCCAGCACTCTTATCCTATTTGATTAAGAAAAAATGGGAATTTTCCTTTTACAAGTAATTAATTCGAGGGGCAGGGAGCGAGTGAATGCGTGGAGGGGGATTTAGTTGAACCACCACACGAATGCAAAATGCACACAGGTGGGATGTTTGTTTGTTGTCCGTCTGGTTGTGGGTTGTGACTGACTTGTGACGATTAAAGAGAAACAGAGCACCGAGCCGAGGAAAAGATGATAAGATAAAGGCCAAGGACAGGGACAAGGACAAGGACAAGTACAAGCAGGTACAAGCACTCGAGTTATCATAAATAGGTAGAGAGGTAGGTGAGTAGGTACTTTAGATAGATAGACATGTAAGTAGGTAAGGTCAGCATACAGCCACTGGGCAAGCCCAGAGGATATCCGAATATCAATGCGATGTAGAGGAAGAAGGGTGAATGAGAGATTAGAAGGGAAAAGATCAATTATAGACCGTTCGTATCGCCTTCAATATCCACATAAAGTTGTCATGATAAAAGGAATTGCTTGCCTTGCTTTTGGAGATTGAAGCTAAGGTTAATTAGTAAGCATGAGATCAATAACATTCAATTCATCATCCTTCCGCAGAGCCTCAATAATAATTTATTGATATTCAATGATTGGGTGATCCAGACCTTGAACTCAATCAATTCCATTGTATTCTACTTGTTTATACCTATCTCCTTCAATCAGAAGACTGATTCATTTCTTATATTTAATTCACTACCTCCCTACTCCAACCATAAAGGGAATCTTCCCAGTATCAATACCTACGAGAGGAAATTGTCGAGATTGAATCATCCCATTCGAAATATTTCATTCGCCTACCTACCTGTACCATTCGCAAAGTGACGAATAACGTTACAATTCTTACCAGAGGGAGGGGAGAGGAAGGAGCGTACTTGGCTATGATATATAGCTAGAGTTGTACTATCTCTAGAGCTACACAAGAACTATTGAAACTCGATTTACTCCCAAAGAACATGATTAGCTGAAGAGCAGATTTGAAATTGATCTGTTTGCTTACCAAAGTTCTAGACAAAACTTACAGACGGTACACACCTTCATCGAGAGCTACCAGCGAATTGCATGTTGCGCATCTTCCTATCGTCTACCCACTCGCATATCTACGCCGAGCGCATTCTCTGGATCATCCACGATACTTGAATTCATAATCACCCAATCGAGGATTCTTGCAGCTTTGATTCACACAACAATTGCGCTCAATATCTAAGGCCTTTCCACAACAATCAAAATGAGTTCTATTGTTCGGGAATGGGGAGTTCCACTACAAGAACCAAATGATTCTGATAATCTAAGATACCTCGAGGAGGTCAAAAAGGAAGTTATCAAGAATGGAATCGTTCGGCCGACGGGATACAATGTTTCTTTTCATATGAACCCCATGATCGAAAAACATCATTTCGGACCAAAACACCCTATGAAACCGTGGCGTTTGACTCTATCAAAAGGATTGATTATGGCATACGGTATGCACGTCGCTATGGATACTTATGTTTCACGTGCGGCAACCCAAGAGGAGTTGGAAGATTTCCATACTCACGATTATCTCGAATATCTCAAAAGTGCCAAGGTCGGCCCGCCAGACGAACGTGTAGAGACACCATACAACCTTGGTAGTTTTGATTGTCCAGTTTTTGATGGACTCTTTAATTATTGTTCGATGTACTCGGGTGCATCGATTGATGCTGCTCGGAACCTTTGTAATGGGACATCAGACATTGCCATAAATTGGTCCGGAGGTTTACATCATGCCAAAAAGACTGAAGCTTCTGGGTTTTGTTATGTGAACGATATTGTACTTGCAATACTCCAACTTTTAAGAAAGGTTCCAAGAGTTTTATATATCGATATAGATGTCCATCACGGTGATGGAGTAGAAGAAGCTTTTTGGTCAACAGGCAGAGTCATGACTGTTTCCTTCCACAAATGGGATCCTGTAAACTTTTTTCCTGGAACCGGCGCCTTAGACGATACCGGCCCGAAAAATGAAAACAATCAAGGTGCTCATCACGCTGTCAACGTCCCATTGAACGACGGAATCGATGACGAGCAATATATTAGGGTGTTCAAGCAAGTCATTGATAAATGTGTCGAAAAGTTCCGTCCCAGTGCCATAGTCCTTCAATGTGGAGCCGATTCATTGGCAGGTGATCGCATTGGAACATTCAATGTTCTTGTTCAGGGCCATGGCGCTTGTGTTGAGCATGTCAAAAGGTATGGCATACCTCTTATGCTTGTAGGAGGAGGAGGTTACACGCCTCGAAATGTTGCACGTGCTTGGACAAATGAAACTAGTATTGCAATTGGCGCAAAGCTAAACGAGGAACTTCCAATGCATACACCCTACCGCGATCATTTCCGAAATCAATCCTTATACCCAGACCTAACTGAGTTGCTAAGTGCTAAGGGGTCAGTTCCCAAAGGTCAAACAGGAGCCAGAAAGAATCACAATTCCGAGAAAAAGATCAATGACATTGTATCCAGCATTCATGAACAGCTTCGCTTTGTAGAACACGCGCCAAGTGTACAAAGTCAAGACCTTCCACCTGATTTAGGAGCTTGGAAACAAGATGTTGAGGATGAGATCAAAGAGGCAAAGGAGCAAGAAGAGTCATATAGGTTGCAGAGGGAAGAGGGTCTGGGCATTCTTCGAGAGTATGCTTAGACAAGTGAGATTAGTACTTGGAAAGCTGTGCTGGATAGCTCACGCGCAAGGGGCATATTGCAAAATAATAGGGGCGTTTGGATGGTGCAGGAGTTACAAAGAATATACCTGAATTTTGGAAGCGGAATCTTTGATAGTATTGAAAACCATGAAATTATACCCAGTCATGATCATGACAAAAGGGAGGAGGGCATACACCTGGTCGCTGCCAGGCTGTGAATAGGTCACAAATTAGACAATACAAGTTTAGCTATTTGTGTATCCATAACTATAAGTCAACCAATTTTCTTGTAGTTGTTTATGATTAATCTATTTACCATTATGTTTATTGTCTAGTAATTATTCTATAACCCACCCGAGCCACTCTATTGGATACCATTCTGTGTAGAAACGCCGTAACCATTATTCTCAACTCCGCCCATGATTAATCTATTCGTTTAGTGTTTAACTGTACTGCAACTTCACTGCTTCTCAATGTTCACATACTTCCCGTCACTTTCCTCACAAATTCAGGAGCCGGATCATACAGCATGACGTGGAAATGTTCTACCGAATGTATCGATTTCAAGCTTCTCCAATTTCTAAACCAGATGACCTGTAAATGAAATTCTTCATTAGCTTTCTTCACATGGCAATACGATACCCAGGCGAGTTAATCATTGCAAGCCATAACAAGCCAAAGCAAGCAACACCAAAAATCTTACTTGCATACAGATATAGAGTATACATAGAAAATAAAAATGAAAATGAAAATAAGAATAAAATAAAAAGAGCAACTCACATTCTCACCCCCACACTTTTCCCCAAACACGCGATCCACCCACGTCTGAATATCCCTCTTCGCATCCTCCCTCGTATCCCCCGTCTCGAGATCATCTTCCAGCGCGAATTTCGTCCACACGACCAAATGTACAATTTTCTCATCAATGCCATAGGGCCAATCATTCAATAAAATTTTATATTCCCCCGCATCACTAAAGGGCGGATGGCGTGCACACAAATCGGACTCTCGCCAGTGCAATTTCTCATCGAGGATAAAGCGCATCATGGAGCCGTGGGACTGTTTGATGGCGTAGCAGTATTCGAGATATTTGCGGAGCTGGGAGGGGCGGCGCTGGAAGAGATCGAGGCGGTTGGTGCGGATGATGTTGCGCACGGCGGGCCAGCTGAGGGTGGGTGAGGCGGAGTCGGGGGTGAGCAGGATGTGGATGTCTTTTTGCGAGAGGGATTGCAGGGAGGGCGGACAGTGCGCGGTGTGTGCGGTGGAGGGGATGTTGGTTTGCCAGTAGGGGAGGGAGGAGGGACAGGGGGCGGGGGTGATGCTACCCATGTTTTTCTGTTCTTTTTTGGGGAGGGGCTGCTTTTATTTACTTTTCGGGATAGATGGTGGGAGGCTGGATGCTGGGGAGTTGGGAATGCGGGCTGCTGATAGGTGGTGATGATTGCAGGTGGTGATTGTAGTGACAAGGTGAGTGGTAAGCGACGGGATGGATGGTGGATGGTGGATGGGGATAGGATGGATGATATGGATAAATTGGAAATAGATTGAAGGTGTAGGGGTGGTGAAAGGATGGGTGGGGGAAGGAAGGATTTTTATTTATTTATTTATTTACTTACTTTGTTTGTTTTTATGGCGTGGTGTGAAGGTAAGTGAAGGTAAGTGAGTGGTTGTGCTCACTCAACTGGTGTGTGGTGACCACGGGTGTACAGACGACACAGAGGATTAGCATTGCATTGCCGGGTTGCTAGGAGACATTTTTACTAAATGTGTGTCGGGTGCGGGAAATGAAGTTTAGCACCACCTCCCTACGCGTGTGCTGTGCTTTTGAATATCGGTATGAGGAGGACTCATAGGGATTTGATTCTGATGATCTTCTACGGAGTGAGTACGTAGACAGACGCTTAGATGCAATGGGAAGCTTGTACTCTCTTCTCCCTACCTTTGAACTTTACCCCTTTCTTGGCCATCTTAGCTGCGTTACCTAGCTACCTACCTTAGCTATAGCTTGCTTTCCCCTCAAGATCTCTGAAGCTATTCTCCTGATTCTTCAGATGGCATTGGTACTTCTTTGTACATAGTAGCTCATTACAAAGTATATCCATCCATGGATCATTCCACATGCCATATATGATATACAACATGCAATGAATGAATGCATCCCTACCTGGACGACTCGAGTTTGAAATTTATTGGATTTTGATGTCACACATTCATCATCAATATAGATGTGACGGACGTGATTGGATGGTGAAATGGTGAGAAATGAGATTTATCTGGAGTTCATCGGATGGGAATCGATTTCATTGAATCGTTGCATCGGCATGACTCCACTCTCATTTCCTACGATTGATGGATTATGGCCTGGACTTTGAAGATTCAACGATATTGAGTGCTGCTTTTATGGTGGAGTGGCTGGGTTGTGTGTTTTGTAAGATTCAATTGATGTTATGTACGACAGCAGGACAGACAGTCTGCAGATGTAAATGATCAAAGTAAAGCAGCGTGCATTCATTCTTCATTCATTCCATTATCGACTATTGAAGGCTTGAAGACTTGAAGACTTGAAGAATTGAATTAAAAAAGGAAAGATCAAAGAACAAGACAAGCATTAAAACTCACGATTTGATAGTGGATCCATGATCCATCCCAAACCTTCCTGCAGCTGATGCAGCTGATGCAGCTGATGCAGTGCAGCTTTCACCTTTTTTTGTAAATTGTTCACATCCAGGGTTGCTTCCTGTTTGTACCGGTGAGTATGAGATAGAAGCCTGTACCGAGTACCTTAATAACAATTGTATTAAGCAGTTGGAAATCAGAACGGAACCGACTTTGCTTTTTCTTACAAACAATCCAGTTCATCTCATCTCTTTCCAGAAGTCGTTTCGTTTTGTTTTGTTTCGATTCGTCTCGTCCTGTCTTTTTGTTCACTCACTCACTCACTCACTCACTCACTCACTCACTCACTCACTCACTCACTCACTCACTCACTCACTCACTCACCCACCCACACACACTCTCTCTCTTTATTTACAAAACATTTGAATGTCAATCTGAAAGTTGAAGCTTGCTTTCTTTCTATATTTCACTCTTTTGTTATCCTACCGTCGTTCACTTTTTCCAGATTGGAAATCGCATTGATACAGAGATCAGATCAATTACACACACTCTTTGGAACTTTAAAGTAATTGAAGAAGGCACCGTGCCGCGACCTACCATACACATTCTTTCGTGTGGTGTTGAATATCTGGATTGGGTTAGAGACTAGTCTTGAACCATTACACTCACTTTCGCATTCGACTTAACAACCAAACTCAACTTTACAAATATTCCCAACCTCGAGATTATCCTTCTGAATATAAGAAAGGTCGCATGAAAGTCTACTTTTCAGTCAACTTCTGATCCGATCAAATAACTTTCCTCATCATCTCGACTCAACCAAGATATACGATATTTGAATCACAATCTTTTCCTTACTAGATACCCACTCTAATACAACAAAATGGGAGGCAAACCACGCAACTTCGGGATGAAGGAACATCGTCCTTCACCATTGAAACAAGAAGTCTCGCAAAGACCTATCTCTATGCAATCGCCCAGCATGGGTTTGGTGAGAGATCCCATGTTTTGGAAGAGGTTTTCGACGGCGGTACATATGTCGGAAGTGGACTTGAAGGAGTTGGAGAGTGGATTTGCTAGTGAGAGGGTGGAGAGAAAGGATTCTTATGGGTAGGTCTTCTTGATTTTTTTTTTGTGGATTGTTGATTTTTATGTCTTTTGTGGATTGTGGGTTGGAGAGTAGGGAGATGGGAGATGAGGTTGAGGTTGAGGAAGAATTAAGTAATTGGACGGATGAACCGGAGTATATGGGTACAGAGGATTGTAATAGAGGATTGGAATGAAGGATTTTTGCTAATCATACTGTGTGGAAATAGCGGAGGTGAAGATTGGCTGGATCAACAGTATAAGGAGAAACGCCGATGTCGCTTCATCTGTATTGGAGTCACAATCTTGGTGTCTATTCTCGTGGCTGCTGCTGTGGTAGTGGTGTTGTATTTCACGGGAAGAATACACTTTTAATGTTGAGGCGCCTCAATGGAAAGGAAGGATGAATGAAACGAAGAAGGAAACTGACCTCTTCGGAACTACTTTTGACGATACGTAATGAAATGATACGACAATGATAATGGAATGGCACTTTAGATGGGAGGAAATAGAATTCGATTCGACAGGTTCGACGGCATGACAACAACGAACTCAATGGTGCAGATATCTACCGTGCGCGAACTTTTGCGAAGAATTACCTTGTTCCTACTTCGATTCGGAGGAACAAATGGTGAATGGATGGACGGATGAGCAGTTTGCAATAGGCGATGCGATGGAAAGTATGAGTATGTATGCATGGTTATATTTTGATATGTCTATCATACCGGAGTCTTAGGGAATATGGAATGGATCGCAAATTGTATCTGTCGCTATAAATTCACAATTGCTGAATGGGTCTATCGTCTATAATATCAATGCTCGATGTGCTTGGTTTTGATTGAGATGAATGTATGGAAGGATGGGTATGGAATGGGATGGGATGGATGGATGGGGCAGGACGGGGTGGAATGAAGAAAAGACAGTGCTAGGATTGATATTTGTATGTATACAGATATTGGTGACTGGCTACTGGCAGAATGGAGGGAAATAGATAGATAAAATTAAATCAAATCAATAACAAAAAACATGTTAAAACTTTATTGGAGGCGCGGAAAGAAACGCAGTGATTGGTATATTGGTCGTGTAGAATGTGTATTGGTGTTTGGATTTTGGATTGTTTTAAATAGATACTTTGATATACGGAGACTTCTAGAGATACTTTGATTATGAATACAGCTCTGAGAATTGAGAATTGAGAATTCTAAAATTGAATAGATTGGATTGGATTGGATTCGGTACTTTTTTCTGGAAGGATAGATGGAAGGAAGAAAGGAAGGAAAGATGAATTGTAGTTTATATGCCTTTCTAGGAAATTTCCAAATATACTCTGGAAAGTGAAAAAGATGGGGGATTTTGGGTGATGTGATGTGGTGATGGGATGGGATGGGATGTGATGTAGATTTTTAGGGGAGTGGGGGGGAGGAGGGAGAGGGGGAGGGAGGGAGGGAGGGAGTAAATGGGTTTTGTATTGAGAAGGGAAGAGATGAGAAGAGAAGAGAAGAGAATTGGATGCTTTGTATGGGTGAGATGGGGATGGAGAGGTGGTGAGATAGTGAGATTATGATATGGTGAGTTGGTGAGTTCTGAATCTGAATCTGGATTAGGATTAGGATTGGGAGTGAGTTGTAGGGTATGGTATTGTATTGTACATGGTATATGCTGTATATGGTATATGTTGTAGCTTGGAGGTGGGTAGGTAGGGTAGGTAGGGTAGGTAGGGTAGGTAGGGTAGGTAGGGTAGGTAGGGTAGGTAGGGTAGGTAGGGTAGGTAGGGTAGGTAGGGAGGTAGATAGATAGAGAGAGAGAGAGGGAGGGAGAGAGGGAGAGAGGGAGGGGGGAGGGATGGGGATAGAGGAATAGAGGCGACTGAACGAGGATTGAATGAATGAGGAATGAATAAGGAATGAATGAGGAATGAATAAGGAATGAATGAGGAATGAATAAGGAATGAATGAATGGATGGATCTATATGTACTCGTGATTTGGGGGTTATCGTATAATATAGTATAGGAGAGGAAAAGATGGATGGATGAATAGATGGATCTATACTTTGTATGTACGGGTATGGAGTATGGAGTGTGTAAATGTGGATGGATTATGATATTTGATAGTTGATAGTTGATAGTTGGTATTTGGTACGATATAGTGTTTGATCTTGGGGTGTTGGGGTGTTGGGGTGTATGTATTTATGTATTTATAGTTTCATAATTTTATAGGAGAGTATACGAAGTAGATAGGATAGATAGGATAGAAGTATGGATAGTATGGATAGGATAGAAGTATGGATAGTACATACCGGTAAGAGATGGAATAATTGGAAAAGGAGAGGAAGGGATAAGATAGACTAATAGGCGAAAGAGCGGTCAGGTCAAGTCAGTTGGCTCGGTTCGGTTCAACCTGGTTGGGGAGAAGAAGGGGATGGGTTCTCCTATACCTAGGTAGCTATATATCATGCGTGCGTGTGCACTGTGTACGAAGTATGCACCGTACATTGTAACCCATAGACCGAGTATCAATTCTCAAGACGTGGTGAATGTGCTTCGTATCTACCTAGAAGGTACCTACTACCTATGGATGTAGGAAATAGGGATTTTTCTGGATTTTTCAATGGGGCCGCTGGTGGGGGAAGCGGGACGGGGGACGGGGTATGTATTTGCTATTGCGATTGCTATCCAACTATACGAATGATTGAATGGAAACTTGAAAGAACACGTCTTTAATGTCTCAATGTCTCATTTGATGTTGGGGATGTGTGTGCGTGTGTATGTGTATGAAGGAATCACGGAAGAAGACCGCTTCGGACCATACCGATTACTGTGTGTGTGTGTGTGTCTGTGAAGCACTGAAGCTTTGAAGTTTGAGATGGGACTACGTGTTAGGTTTGTAGAAGGAGTGGGTGGGTGGGTTTGTATGCAAAGGGGGGTCCGATGTATCATGTAGGCACGTTGGTTGCAAGGGGGGTGTGTACTAAGGGTATTCCCTTTTGAGATATCGATCGCGCTTCTCGACCTAGAACTTGAAGGTATCGCAAGCTAGAAGCTGTGTGGAAGAATACCTAGGTACTCGCGAGAAGCTAGAAAGTCATCAAGCACACGTGATGAAGCTATTTCATGCACGACTTGAACCCGCCGAGCCTCGCATCTCATCTGTTGATTCGACGGATATTTATGCATGTCTCATCCTGAAATAAGATATGCAACAAAAAACGTTATCGGAAAGGAATATTGCGACTCATCGTGTGATATTTATCTTGAATATCACGTGGATCTATGATCTCTCCTTACTTTTGCGTGAGTTTGGGGTTGGTTGAACTTTTCCCGTTTGATTGATGATATAGATAGGTACTTTGGTAGATATGGATACTAGATAGATTACTTCCACTAGAAGCAATGTTGAGATGTTCAATGATTAATTCAGAATGATATGTTTTAGGTCATCGTAACACAAGATGGCTCGCTGGGTTCCTAGATAAGGCTGGGTGAGATGCAAATGATTTCTTACCGTTGAGAAACCCCACGTGGAAATTGTAGACATGAACATTGGAAGTTACCTATGTATGAAGTTGTCGTCCCTCCTTCGGATGCGACAAGAAGGTTGAAAGGAGATTCTGCAAATCTAACTTGGATTAACTTAAAGTCGCTAGCTGCTCGTATTGGGTTATCTTTTTGGCGTCGGAAATGTGCCACATTGACAATTTTGACAGTTCGTGTAAGTAATCTGAAATTTTTTGGTATGTTTTTGAGAAAATGGGACGGAAGCTAAAGGGAGCTATCGACCTGTGGCTTTCTCCAATGTACCGGACAGGGTAAAATATGTTGTGTAAGTGTGCTTTTACTTTAATTTCAGCCTTTTCGAACGGCTCATCATAGCACAGCGTAAAGTCCCCGGAAATTATAGAGAAAGTTGGTTGATGTTGATATACTTCGTACAGAGTAGATACTAATCAAAGTAGGGAGCTCCATCGGCTCCATTCACCAGGTGGTTGAAAGTTTAATACCGGTAACCCCCTCCGTGATCCTCAGAAAAGACTGGAAGCCATCGAGAAATGAATATTGTTACTGCACAATGTATTCCAAAATTCAATAACAATTGATGTTCATCTTTTGATCTTCTTAAATCTTTTGAATAAAATATGTTTTGGATTCAAATCCATGTTTGATGGTCTGTGACAAATCGAAACAGTGACATGTTGTCTTGATGTCGATTTTCCTTTTTTTTTCTTTTCAAGATTGTCATTCTGGTGTCTGGCTTTTCGTCAGGGTCGCAGGAACCCCTTTTTCTTCTCGACTGAGAGAACGGAAGATCCAAAGAAGAAGCCAAAGTGGAATCTAGAGCTGAAGCTCTCCATAGTAAAAATGATAGTTTGGGTCTTAGATCCATGGTGGAGATATCTGACCGCGATGAATATTCCACAAGAGCATAGTTGGGTAGAGCCGGACCGGGTCAATATGGACCAAGAGGTTAGATGGCTGTTAAATATAGAAACTTGGTACCTAACTTTGGTGACGATTGAAATATCATGGATGGCATTCTGTACGAGGGGAACCGTCAACAATCATATGAGAGAGAGAGAGTAACATGTTTCTTCCAAAGAGCATGTACCACGATGAAAAACCGGAAAAGGGTCGTCGTAACACCAATAATATCCAGAGCACATGTAGTTCTAGACGATCTGTAACTGTTGAATTCGTTCATTTATCCATGTCCTCAGGATTTCTTGCCACAACATGAATCTGTTCATGCAAAACCGTGGATTCTTTGGGTGGTAGATGTAACAACATTTCACCGGGAGGACGAATGAGACGAAAATGGTGATGATCCTGGTATGAAAGCACCCCTCTTATTAGCCAACCTGGTAATCAACTGCCCAGCCCCTCAACCTTTCCCCGAACACAATTTATATTATTTCTCTTCCTAATTTCAAAGCTAAGAGGAACCAACCCATTACCTATGTAGACTACGAGCACTACGACCACCACGAGGCACCATCTGAACGTATATAAAGGAGTCAACATTTCCATCCGGACACTCTTGCTTCTTTGACCTGACATCTTCTTTCGTGTGTTTATTGCGTGTAAATACCTTCTTGTCTTGAAATTCCAAAGTAAGTGGCCGAATCATCATTTCCTTGGCTTTGGCGGGGCACAACAACTTCATACCAGATTTCCCTGTCGTGCTAAATATTCACCGTGTTGATCTTATCGCCTAACTGACCTTCTCTTTCCTCTCATAGAAAGCTTAGATTGCTTCTCCTCTTCCATCACATACCCAACCATTTACTTCTTTTTACGAATCTTCGAATATCTTCCAAATCATAATACAAAATGGCAGCACAAGCATTGAAAAGCGCTCTCCCTTCCCACCTCAAGCCTTCG